ATTCGCGTGCTCGTGCTGGGGCGGGAAGACGCGTGTGCGCATGTAGGGGTGGATCTCGGTGCGGAGGTGGGAGTGGGTGTCGTGGCCGATGCGGCGGGCGCGCTCGTTGCGGACGGTCATGAAGTCGATCGGCGCGACGACGACCTTCTCGCCCGGGCCCGGGTCGGCCTGGGCGAGGATGCGACCGTCGTGGTCCACGATCATGCTCGCGCCGGGCCAGGAGAAGGGCGGGTAGTGCTTGAACTGCGCGCCCTGGTTGCAGGCGACGACGATGGCGGTGTTCTCCGCGGCCCGCGCGCGGTTGAAGAGGGTCCACCAGTCCATCGGGGCGGTGACGCCCCACGGGTCCATGTAGGCGCTCACGCGGATGATGATCTCCGCGCCCTGGAAGGCGATCTGGCGGATGGTCTCGGGGAGGAGCCAGTCGTAGCAGATGGCGACGCCCAGTTTGCCGATCTCGGTGTCGACGACGGGGAAGACGGGCTCGTCGTAGCCCTCGACGTCGTGCGGCGATGAGTGAACTTCCCAGGGGAGCCAGGGGTTGACCTTGCGGTACGTGCTCAGGATCCCGGTCGGGCCGATCAGGCACGTCGTATTGAAGACGTGCCCGGGGTACTTCGGGTTCGCCTCGAGGAAGGTGCCGGTCTGGATGTAGACGCCGCGGTCTTTGCAGAACGTCGCGTAGCGGTCGGTGTGCTCGTTGGGGAGTTCGACGGCGAGGCGGTCGCGCAGTTTCGCGACGGTCTGGTAGATCGGCGGGGTGTGCGCGAACTCCGGGTAGACGAGCAGGCGGACGTCGTGGAAGGGTTCGTACCCGTCCACGGTGTGCGCCGCCATCTCCAGCATGCGGTCGACGCGGGAGGGGATGTCCTTCCGCGTCGAGGCGAAGGGGAAATCCGTCTGGATGCACGCGGCGTAGGGCGGGGCGCTCATGATGAGCGATGGTACGCCCGCCGCCCCGCGGGCGTGCTGCTCAGTTCACCCGCCCTGCTCCGCGGCGAGCGCTTCGAGACGCTCGGCTTCGCTGATCAGCTGCTCGTTGCCGCCCGAGGCGATGGCGGCGCGGCGGAGGCACGCGGCGGCCGGCGCGTATTCGCCGCGTTGGGCGTGGATCTGCGACATCGCGACCTGGATGTTGGCTGTGAACGTCTGGAGCTCGGCGCCTCGGGTGAGGAAGGGCATGGCCTCGTCGGCCCGGTCGGTTTGAAGGAGGATCTGCCCGAGGTACCAGTTGGAGACGGCGTCCTCGGGCTTCACTTCCAGGGCGCGCCGGAGGAGCGCTTCGGCGTCGTCGTTGCGCTGCTCCTGGATATTCAGGTAGGCGAGCATGGAGAGGGCGCCGACGTTGTCCGGGAGCTCGGCGCGGACCTGCTCGATGTGCTCGCGTGCCGCGGTGGGGTTCTGCTGGGCCATGCGGACCTGCGCGAGCTGGAGGAGGAGCCCGGGGTGGGCGGGGTAGTCCTCGAGGGCGTCGAGGAGGAGGTTGGCGGCGCGGTCGAGTTGGCCGCGCTGCATGAAGGCGGTGGCGTCGCGCTGGAGTCCTGATGTGCCCCGTTCGGCGAGGGCGAGACGGACGGCGAGCGGGTCGCGGTAGTCCGAGGCGGCGCGCCCGGCCTGCTGGAGGGCGAAGTGGAGCTGGGCCTCGTCGCGCCGGTCGGTCTGGGCGAGGATCTGGGCGAGCCCGAAGTGCGCCTCGGCGTAGCTCGGTTCGGACTTGATGGCGTCGCGGTAGAGCTTCTCGGCGTACTCGAGGTCGCCGTCGAGTCGGGCGCACTGGGCGAGCCCCCAGAGCGAGCGGGCCTCGTCCGGCGCGAGTCGGTTGGCCTGGTCGAACCGGAAGCAGGCGCGTTCGCGGTCGACGTCGAGCAGGAGCATGCCCATGCGGACGTAGGCGGGCTGGTAGGTGGCGTCGATCTCGACGGCGCGCTCGTAGGCAGCGATGGCCTTGTCGGCCTCGCCGGTGTTCTCGTAGGACATGGCGAGGAAGTACCGCCAGGGCAGGGCGTCCGGCGCGAGGGCGGCGGCGCGCTCGAAGCAGGCGACGGCCTCGTTGTCGAAGTCGTAGGCGAAGCACTTCATGCCGAAGTTGCCGATGGCGTCGGCGTTGGTCGGGTTGTCTTCGGCGCGCTGGCGGGAAGCGGCGAGTTCCTCGCGGACGGGGGCTTCGTTGATGCGCTCGATCTCGGGCGTGGGGATGGCGGGGAGGCTCGCGAGGTCGACCGCCGGCGCCGGCGCGGGTGCCCGGTTCGACGGCGCCTCGGGCTGCGACCCCGTGGTGGCGGCCGGCTGGGGCGCTTCTTCGGAGCACGCGGCGAGCGCGGCGAGCAGGGCGGCGGCGGCGAGTGTCGCGGTTCTCGTGCGCATCAGTCGTTGCTCCCGAGGGTGACCGTGGTGCGTTGCCCGGGCTCGAGGCCGGTGAGGGTCGAGGTGACGATCTCGCCGGGGACGCTCACGGTGAGGGACTCGATGGTCACGCCCTCCGGCCAGGTGATGTGGACGAGGGGCGAGTTCGAGGCGAAGTAGCTCCCGTCGATGCGCACGGTGCGGGTGATGACCCTGCCGTCCGTGCGGACGGCGCGGACGCGGGCGCCGAGTGCGGGGGCGCCGCTGGGGTTGCGGGCTTCGACGAAGGCGTGGTGGCCGGCCTTCGGCGCGTCGTTGAGGAGGAGCTCGACGGGGCCGTTGTCGTTGGTGAGCAGGACGTCGATGTCGCCGTCGAGGTCGACGTCGCCGAAGGCGCAGCTCCGGGAGACGCGCTTGCGGGTGACGTCGGGGCCGGCCCGCTCGCTCGCGTCGGTGAACGTGGCGTCGCCGTTGTTGAGCATGAACTGGTTGGGCTGGTCGTAGGGGAAGACGCCCTCGACGTCGAGGTCGTTGGCGCGGACGTCGCCGTTGGCGATGAAAACGTCGAGGTCGCCGTCGTGATCGGCGTCGAGGAAGCCGACGCCGAAGGCGGTGAACGCGCGGCTCGGGGCGGCGAGGCCGGCGCGGAGGGTGCCGTCGGTGAAGAACGCGCCGCCGTTGTTGCGGTAAAGCGTGTTGGTCTCGCCGCGCAGGTGCGTGAGGAACATGTCCTCGTCGCCGTCGTCGTCGTCGTCGCCGATGGCGATGCCCATGCCCGCCTCGGCCTGCCCCATGTCGTTGTAGGCGGCCGAGTTGAGCAGGGCTGTTTCTTCGAACGCGCCCTCGGTGTTGAGCCAGAGGTGGTTGGCGTCGCCGTCGTTGGCGACGTAGATGTCCGGCCAGCCGTTGCCGTCGAAGTCGGCGACGACGGCGCCGAGCGCGTGGCCCGCGGTGGTCGGGGCGAGGCGGTCGGAGGCGTCCGTGAAGACGCCGGTTCCGTCGTTGAGGTAGAGGCGGTCGGGGAGCGGGTCGAGGGCGGCGGGGGCGCAGTAGTCGCGGACGCCCGGCTTGCGCTCGCACGTCGGGTTGGTCTCCACGGAGAAGTCGCCGCCGAGGCCCACGAAGAGGTCGAGATCGCCATCCAGGTCGATATCGATGGGGGTCGCGCAGGAGGTCCAGCGCGGGTCACTCAGGCCCGACGCGTCGGTGGCGTCGCGGAAGGTGCCGTCGCCGTTGTTCAGCAGGAGCGCGTCGGGGCCGTAGTTGGTGATGAACAGGTCGATGTGGCCGTCGTTGTTGAAATCCGCGGCGACGGGGGCCATGCCGAAGCCGATGAGGCCGGTCCCGGATTCCCGGGTCCCATCCGTGAAGCGGAGTTCACCGGAGTTGACGCCGCCGGTGATGAGGTCGTTGCGGAAGAGGCGGTTGCCGAGGTTGGCCTCGGTCGCGGGCGCGTCGTTGAAGGCGTCGGCGAGGGTCTTCCCGGGTTCGAGGACGCGTCCCTGGAGGAGGTAGACGTCGAGGTCGCCGTCGTTGTCGTAATCGAACAGGGCGCAGCCCGGGGGGACGATCTCGACGTAGTAGTACTGCCCGGTCAGTCCGGCGATGTGGGTGAAATCGAGGCCGACCTGCGGGGCGACGTCCCGGAACCAGGGACTGGTCGGCTCCGTGTCGGCCCGGGCTTCCCGCGGGGCATCCGGCTGGTTCTGGGCGGTTTCGGCTGGCGCGGGATCCTCTCCGCAGCCGAGGAGGGCGAGCGGCGAGGTGAGGAGGATCGCGATGGTGCGGCGCGTGGTCATGGGCGTGGCGGGCGGGTCCAGACGCGGTGGTCGAGCCGGGTCTGGATGGTCTTGATCAGCCAGCGGGCGAAATCGGCCTTTTCGAGCTCCGGGTCGAGGTCGATGACGCCATCGGGGGTGATGAGGCGGGCGTTCCGGATGGTTGGGCTCTCCATGGTGGAGAGCTCGTTGGCGAGGATAGCGTCCACGCCCTTGCGGATGAGCTTCTCTTTGCCGGATTCGAGGACGCGATCGGCGGTCTCGAGGGCAAAACCGAGGATGACCTGCTCGGCGCTCCGTTTGGCGGCGCACGCGGCGACGAGGTCCGGGGTGGATTCGAGGGCAAGGGTGAGGCCCTGCGCTGCGCGAGGGAGCTTGGCGGGGAGCGCGGTGTTTGGGTCGTGTTTGGGCCGATAATCGGCCACCGCGGCGGCCATCACGAGGGCGTCGCAGGCCGGGAAGTGCTCTTCGAGGAGGAGGCGGAGGTCCTCCGTGGTGCGGAACCGAAGGGTGGTGATGCTCGTATCTGGTGGTTCAATCGGCGTCGGGCCCAACAGGAGGGTGACCTCACAACCCGCATCGCTCGCGGCACGCGCGAGTTCGATTCCGACTCGCCCGCTCGAGCGATTGGCGATGTATCGCACCTCGTCGATGGGCTCGTGCGTCGGGCCGGCGGTGATGAGGAGGCGTCTGCGGGGATCGTGCTGGTTTGATGGCATCGCTTCAGGTCAGCATAATTCACGATCCCGGGCGTCGGGCCGTTGCATCGCCCGGGAGAAGAGAGCGGGGTTGAATTCGGGGGTGTGTCATCGTCCAGCGGTGGGCGTTGGGTTTTCACGCATCGTACGCACGCGCTGGGAAAGCGGAGAGTGAGCGTTCATGGCGAGGTCGAGCAAGAAGCTTGGTGAGATCCTGGTCGGGGCGAAGCTGGTCACGCAGGAGCAGCTCGACACGGCCCTGGGGATGCAGAAGGGGGCGGGCAAGCGGATCGGCGAGATGCTGATCGACGCCGGGTTCGCGAAGGAGGAGGACGTCGCGAAGGCGCTCGCGAAGCAGTTCGGGCTTCGGTACGTGGACGTGTCCAAGCCGGAGATCGCGGAGAAGATCGACCTCTCGCTGCTCCCGGACGACCTGGTGAAGAAGCACCTGATCCTGCCCCTGGGCAAGGCGAATGGGCGGATGCGTCTGGCGATGCACGACCCGAAGAACCTGGACGTGCTGGACATGCTGCGCTTCCGTTTGAACACGGAGGTGGACCCGTACATCTCGACGCGTGGGAAGATCAAGGCGTATCTGGACAGCCAGGGGGCGGGCGCGAAGCTGCCCTCGATGACGGACGCGACGGAGGAGTCGCTCGTCACGGACTCGATCGACCGCTCGATCGACCGCTCGATGGACAAGTCGGTGGACTCGTCGATCGACCAGGCGGCGGAATCGGCGCCGATCATCAAGCTGTGCGCGCGCATCATCACGGAAGCCGTGAACATGCGGACGAGCGATATCCACATCGAGCCGATGGCGGACCGCGTGCGCCTGCGGTACCGCATCGACGGCGTGTGCATGGAGCGCGACAACCTGCCCAAGCGCATGCAGAACGCGGTGCTCGCGCGGTTCAAGCTCATGGCGGGGATGGACATCTCCGAGAAGCGCGTCCCGCAGGACGGCCGCATCAAGATGCCCGTCGGCGACGCGACGATCGACTTCCGCGTCAGCGCGTGCCCGGCGTACCACGGCGAATCGATCGTCCTGCGTATTCTGCGTCCGGACGCGGTGCGCATCGGCCTGGAGAACCTCGGGTTCGAGTCGGACAACCTGGAGGTGTTCAACAAGATCATCCGCCGGCCGAACGGCATCTTCCTCGTCACCGGGCCGACGGGTTCGGGCAAGACGACGACGCTGTACTCGGCGCTGGACATCCTGAACCGGCCGGACCGGAAGATCATCACGGCCGAGGACCCGATCGAGTACGCGTTCACGGGGATCAACCAGTGCCAGGTGCGCGAGAGCATCGGGCTCTCGTTCCCGATCATCCTCCGCGCGATGCTCCGCCAGGCGCCGAACATCATCCTGGTCGGTGAGATCCGAGACAAGGACGTGGCGGAGGTGGCGATCCAGGCGGCGCTGACGGGCCACCTGGTCTTCTCGACGCTGCACACGAACGACGCGCCGAGCTCGATCACGCGTCTGATCGACATGGGCGTGAAGCCGTTCCTCGTCGCGTCGTCGATCCAGGCGGTGCTCGCGCAGCGTCTGGCGCGTGTGCTCTGCGACCACTGCAAGGAGCCGGACCCGAACCCGGATCCGAAATTCATGCGCCTCGTCGGCATCACGCCGGAGGAGCGCGCGGCGCACACGATCTACAAGGCGATCGGCTGCGAGAAGTGCGGCGGGTCGGGGTACCGGGGCCGGAAGGCGATCTTCGAGCTCATGCAGATGAACTCGGAGATCCGCGACCTGGCGTTCCGCCAGGAGCCGCTCGTGCAGATCCGGCGCGCGGCGATCAACAACGGGATGCGTTCCCTCACCGAGGACGGCAAGCTCAAGGTGCTCAAGGGCATCACGACCCCCGCCGACATCGCCCGCATCACGCAGGCGGACGACATCGCGTACGACGACGACGAATGAACCAACCCCCGCGCCGCGTGAAGCGGCGTTCTTTCTTTCTCTCACAGACAAGGCCAACCCATGTCCACGATGCAGATCGACAGGCTCCTCGACACGGTCATCAAGCTCGGCGCCTCCGACCTCCACCTCACGGTGGGCCGCAAGCCGACACTCCGTCTGCACGGCGGTCTGAAGAACCTCGACACCAAGGTGCTCGATTCCGACGACATGGTCACGCTCATGAAATCGATCACCTCCGAGCGCTCCCAGCAGGAGCTGCAGGAGGTCGGCTCGTGCGACTTCGGCTTCGCCTACGGCACCGAGGCCCGCTTCCGCGTGTCGGTGTTCCGGCAGCGCGGCGACATCGCGATCGTCTGCCGTCTGATCCCGAACAAGCTGCTCACCTTCGAGCAGATCGGTTTGCCGGAGCAATGCCGCGAGCTGATCCGGCGTCCCCGAGGGCTCTTCCTGGTGACGGGGCCGACGGGTTCGGGCAAGACGAC